CGGACCTTCCGAAGTCCAACCGAGAACTGACTCGTGGCTTCTCGCGGGCCCCTTATATAGCGGCGGCCGGCCGAGGATCAGCGAAAATTTCCGAACTTTACCGATTCCTCTAAAAGTTACTTTTCTGCTGTAATAACTAATAATTTATTAACTTTTTTGACTTCTACCATTAATATACGTTGCAAACTATTTGATATCAATGATTTTAATTTGTTCTTAGCAATAAATTTATTGATTTATTAACTTTTTGTAAGTTATATATAAATTTTAACACAAATACGTTGTTTGTTTAATTAGCAGCTAATAGTTTATTACCTTTTTTGACTTTTATCGTTAATATACGTTGCAAACTATTTGTTATCAATAATTTTTTCTTGCTATTAACATTAAATTTAATTACTTTTTGTAAGTTATGGATACATTTCAACACAAATACGTTGTTTGTTTAAGTAGTAGATAATAATTCATTAACTTTTTTGACTTTTATCGCTAATATGCGTTGCAAACCAATTGTTACAGCAATTTTAATTTGTTATTAACAACAAATTTAATAATCTATTAACTTCTTTTAAGTTATGGATCCATTTTAACATAAATTCGTCATACGTACTAACAATAACCAATAATTTAGTCATTTTTTCACTTGTATTATAAATTTACATTGCGAATATTAGCGATTTACTTACCATCTCTTCAGTATCAATCATAATCTACATTACCTATTATCAAGCTACTTATCATACATTCAGTGACAGATGTTGCCTACATATGTGACTATCAAGTTTCCAATTACCTCTTCAATAACAGTAGTTTTTTTCATTACCGATTATCGAGTTTGTTATTACCTCTTCATTAACAGTTTTTTTCTTCATTACCGATTATCGAGTTGCTTATCACCTCATCACTAACAGTTGTTTTCTCAATTACCGTTGATCGAGTTTCTTATTACCTGTTCAGTAACAATTGTTTTCTTCATTACCGATTATCGAGTTACTTATCACCTAATCAGAAACAGTTGTTTTCTACATTACCGATTATCGTTCTATATTACTTATCATCTCTTCGGTAACGGTTGTTTTCTACTTTAACTATTATCAAGTTTCTTATTACCTCTTTAGTAACAGCTATTTTCTTCATTACCTATTGTTCTGTTACACATCATCTCTTCATTTTGGCCGTCTTCTACATTACTAATTTACTTATCATCTCTTAATTACCTGTCATTCTCTACATTATTGGCGATCTATGCAGTATTTCGCAGGTTGCAACAATATTTACCCTATTTTGCAGTATAAATAATACAAATTATATAAATCTAAACAAACTTATTCAACACATCCTACCATTAATTTTATTTTGAACATTATATCACTTCTATTAATTATATGTAAAGACAAAACAAGAACCGCTTACGATTTCCATGTCTTCGATGACGTCGTAATATTGCAAGAGCAAAGGAAGTTTGCACATACAAATCACGATGGAAAATCCAGAGATTCCTGGCGAACAAGGGGAAGCGGAAGTACATCCATTGGGGGTAATTATTCATCCACCTGAGTAATCACTGTAATATCCTGTTGAAATTACATTTTCGCGTTTACTAACCTAAGAACTTAGCAATCCAAATTTCCATATTTGAGAAACTTTTAACAACCTACGACCCATAATTTTCAATTATTCAAATAGAATTGTACCTCTCGTTCAAACACCATAATCTCGAAATTAAATTTTCATACTCTATGTGGAATAAATCCATGGAAACTTCCTTTAATTTCACATGAAATTTACAAAAGTTTTGAGAGCTATTAGACATTAATTACAATATTTAAAAGAGTGTTTCTGTAAATTTATAAAGTTTTAAAATTAATTTTTTTATTTAATAACAAATTGCTATAGAATGTTTAAATATATCTACTTTATAACCTAAAACCTCAAATCACCAACTAGTTACTCTCTTGTCAAACTTCTAATATTCTACATTAATCACTTGGTGTAGTACTTCGTCATTCCGATGCATTCTTCATTCATAATTAATAAACGCGAAACACTCGATTCCACAATTTCATAATCTCCACATAGAAATGCTTATGAAGAATCACACATATTATTTCTATACCTTCCTTTCTTTCCAAGTATATTACACCTAAAGCTCATACTTCTACCTGAAAATTTCCTTCTACATAGTCGATGTGCAATATACCTCAGCTAACCCATTATACTGCATAGGAGATCGGGCTGTGAGGTTATGTTCGTCGTCCCGTCGCTTGGGAAAGTATTATAATGAAAATAATTACAGTTATACGAAGGAAAGAGGAACGAGAATGGTGATAGACATGGTCACGGGAAAGCTTTGCTTCCAAATGGCGATATGTACGTTGGATTATACTGCAAAGGATTGAGACATGGTCGCGGACTATACGTGTTCAAAATCGGTGCCCGATACGATGGCGAATGGAGACATGGCGTTAAGTATGGTCAAGGGACTTTCTGGTACCCTGACGGGACGCGTTATGAGGGTAAATAAACGCCGATGCAATTAGGTTAATCATAATTTAATTATAGTCTTCGCCAAATATCTATAGTATTTATAACGATAATATGCAAAATTAATTACAACCGAGCTACAAAGTTAATGTGAAGATCCGATTTTCCACTATTTTTGCAAAAGCAGTTCTATTTTATTGTAGTACCAATGAATGAAACACGAAATAAGTAATAAAATTATTTGTATAGGCTTTAATGTTATTTAATGTAGATTATAAACGCGTCGATAACTACGACAGCGATTTAACTGAAAGGTCCGAAAGAAATAATTTTATTTTGTAGGATTTTTCGATGCGGATAGGATACGTGATGAAAGTTTTGAGGGTACATTGTAGAATTTACGAATATAAAATGTAAGGTCTATATGTTATGTTTTAGACCTATTGTTATGCTAAAATAGTGGTTCCTTAGTGTGGTGGATACTATAGAATAGGAAAGAAAGAGGAAAACGTTTGATACACTATGTGCAGATTAGCACGTATTCCGCAGGCGAGTGGAAACGAGATACTAGGTACGGGTTTGGTGTGTATTATTATATGAATGGAGACGTCTACGAAGGCTCCTGGAAGAAGAATCTTCGACACGGCATGGGGTCCTATCTTTACGCAGATACGAACACGAAATTCATGGGCACGTGGATCAAGGATCGTATGCAAGGGCCTGGACAACTAATCCATCCCCGACATCGGTTCCATGGATCTTGGGAACTGAATTTGGTAAGCAAAACATTGGGTGGCAGAAAATTTTGGAAATATCGGGAAATTGAAGGATACCATATTTAAAAAGTAATTACATTATTGTTTAGTATAAAACTTTGTGGAATATATGATAAACTAAGCACATACCATTTAGACGATATTTGGTAGGATATTAATATCCAAAACAAGAATTTGTAAATACAATGAACATTTTCTGAATCTCTAATTATTTTGTCTAACACGAATTTGAATCTATAATATCCATTGGGTAATTCTTGTAGAGTTTATTTTCTTGAAAATGAATCCGTAATCAGAATTACTCTATCACCATTAATTTTTGAAAATTCTGGCATCAAAACGTAAGATTTTTTGATAAAACGAAGTATTATATTAAAAATAAGAACATTAGGAGATTCATTATTACCTTACAAGTTAGACAAGAGTATCCGAAGTCCATGAATGTCCATACGTATAGTTATTTGTGTTTACGAATAATTATAATTCGTCATCGAATTATAAAAATAAGCCGCCGAGGGTATACCATACGCACCATCCGAGAGTTTTGACAAAACGTTCTTTATTTCACATGAAACTCTGCGGGCATAGTAGGTATCGTATTCTGTAGACTTTTCTGCAAAGAACCCATGGTACAAATTGTCAAGACCATTTTTAATTCCATTAACTCGAAAGAAATATTAAACGGTATGTGTATACTTACACGCTTGTGTCATGCAGTCATTGTTCGCTAACACCAACAATGCCTTAGCTACTCAAAATCCGAGCACCAAGTGCAATGCAGCTAATACATAACACTCTACGACAAAGAAAAATTAAAATTTAGTCATACAATTTCGGAAAAATCACGAAGTTCAAAAGGAACTATGAAAATTTACAATAGATAGCAATTAACTTAAATCCGAATCGTAGCTCTCAGCTTGGAATCGTTTCCGAAAAATTGTTCTTTGGGAAACGATACCAATTACCAGGTCTCACCACGTGGAGGTGGCTACGCGTCGAGACCCGACATGCGCCCTAGTGGCGCAGCCTGCTGGCGCTATCCGTATCAAAGGTATCTAATCTAACCTGAAGCGAATTAAGTTGAAGCGACTCTAATATTTCTAAGTTCCCACAAATTGGGGAAGCAAAGAAAAACTATGTTACAATCGCGACGCGCCCGAACGAGTTTACGATTATTCGAAAGACCGACTAGTCGACGCGACGTACTCTCGTGTACAAGACAACTTCATACCTCGGCACCCTCACTATCGGACCTAGCCCACCCAGCCACCACAGACTCTGCCATGACTTACTCGCGAACGAAGGTATTCAACGAACCAGAGAAACACCCAAAACCAAGCCGAGGGCCCCTAGCGAGGCCTTATAACCGGTCACGCCAGCCCCTGCCACATGGGGGAGAAATTAATCATCCCATGGGGACTGACCGCAGGCCGTTATGCAGTGTCAACGGCTATAGGACCCATACCTCGGTCGTGCACGCGCTGGTGCCAAGGACGACTAAGGCCGACAGACCCTCGAATTGATTCCAGATGCCCCCCAACCCGCCGAACACCCTAGAACCGATGCATGACAAGAGTGGCAGTGGTGAGGATGAGTGTCGGACACGAGTCGTGAAGATGGCTTATGAAGCATGATATTATCGAGTACACGAGAGCACGTCGCGTAGGCTAGTCGGTACTTAAGAAAGATCGCGACTATCGCGAGAACGATAACGTTCTGTTTGGTGAACGAGAGGGATGAGAAAGAACGAATATAAAATAGATATATTCGCTTCAAGTTAGGTAGCTTACCTTTGTACAGACAGCGCGCACATGGGACTTAGCCTAGCAGTCTATCTTATGACTACTTAAAAGTAGACGCACGCATCTCGCGTCGCAAATGAGGTCCTAAGGAATCTTGTGAATATTGAGAAACCTAAAAGCTGAAACTGAATATATTATTGTTAATATGTACCTGAAAGGAAACGGATTAGTACAAGAAAAGAAAACGAAAGCGAAAGGAACGGAAACCATGAAGGTTAATAACCATGTGGAGCGAGCAAGCCAACGACGAGACCTGAGAAACATACCAACGGTGAGATATAAACATACCAACGAGGAAGCGCTCGAGTATTATACGAAATACTCGAAGGCTCTAACGAAAACAAATCGAATGGAGACGTAAAATTTGTGAAAGGAAAAATTTAGCCAACGATGAGACATAAATAAACCAACGATGAAGCATTCGAATATTATACGAAATACTCGAATGCTGAAACAAAGACAAATAGAATGAGAGAAATAAAATCTGGAAGAAGAAAAATAATTAGAACCTGAAAGAAAAGATAATTAGTACCTGAAAGAAGAAATTATGGTTAAATTATTTAAGAGAGTGGACAATGACCAATGAATAGCCATTGATCTAGCCAACGATGAAACATAAATTAACCACCGACGAAACATTCGAATATTATACGAAATATTCGAATGTTTAAATAAAAATAAATAGAAACGAAAAAATAAAATCTGAAAAAAGAATAATTAAAACCTGTAAACAAAATATAATTAACAGCTGAAAACAAAAACAAAAATTGTTCATACCTGAAAACAACAAAAAATTATTAAATTATTTATGGGGGGTGGGGTGTGGGTGTGGTGGTCAGCCCCAACTTCACTTCGATCCTCCCATCCTTTCGCACACGAAGAAAATTTTAATGTGTTCCTTCCAAAGTCAAAACGACAACTGGCTCGAGCAACCGCGCGACGCCCCTTATATAGGCCCCGATCCGCCGAAAATCGCCGGAAATTTCCGAACTTCATCGATTTTATAAATTTTTACTTTTCCGACTTAATAGCCAATAATTTATGAATTTTTTCACTTTCATTATAAATATACATTTTGGGTAATTCGTTATTAGTAATAGATTTTATAATTTATACATATTTTATAAACTATAACTTCATTTGTACCTCCATAGAATAAATTTCTATGACACGTGTATGTCAAAATATTTGTATTTTCTCTGTATTTTTGGCTAAAGTGAAATATTACACAAAAGGTAAAAACGTTAGAAAATACGTTTTCATTTTAAAAGTTAGGTGGGAATTTATTTTTTATTTTTTGACTGCAAAATCCTTGTGAATATATATCTTATCTTCCTGGCAATATTCATCCTAATATTATCTCTGGATGGTTTTTTCTCGGACAAGCATACAGAATACGGTACTTTGTATCAAGTTGGTGTCAGATAATGAACTTTTTCAACATTGCAAGAATATGCGTAGAAAGTATGCTCCTCGGCTTATGTTTAAATTTTGATCACCATTTATAGTTATTAAGAAACACAAATAATGATAATCATGGACATTGTTGAACTCGGGGCACTTTTACCTAATTTGCAAAACAAAAATTAACCTCCTAACGTCCTTACTTTTTATGTATTACTTTATTTCAGCCAAAAATCGTACGTTTTCAGAAAAACTCACATTTTTCGGGAACAGAGGATGATAGAGCCATTTCGATTACTGATTCGTGTTCAAAAAACTAAACTCTAGCAAAATCACCTAATGGATATGACAGATTAGAGAAAAAGTGAAAATTTGTTAGCATGTGTTATTCTAAGTGTGTAGTTAAAATATTATTACTTACATAATATCATTAAAATATTTTAGTACAGTATTTTGAAAATATTATTAAAAGATTACTATTAAATAAATATTTAAAAAGTATAAACACAGCCTTACGGTCGTGGATGCTTCACTTTTGAAAATGCTTGTATGCAACATGGACATTATGTGCATCTGAAAGATCCTGATTATGACGAGGCAAAGGAAGGACCTGCCGAGGTAAGAATTTATTAAAATATTATAAACTAATTATAAAATAAATATAATAATTTTATTCTACAAAGTTTAAAATAAAATTAAGCTTCTTGGTAGCTTCAATTTGTCGGATAATAAACTACAAAATAAATAATTTTCTTTTTATCCTTATGATTTAAAAAATATTGATAGATATTTATATTTATGTAAACATCTTAAAGAATTTTTGAAGAACTATCCGAAAAGATTTAATCATTTATTTAATATCATACAAAAATTTAATTGTTTGAATATAATACAATTTTCTTTCATGCTGCGTTTTCATGATGTAATTAAATTTTGTAGAATACTTGTATCATATTGTGAGTTATATAAAATAAGATAAATCAATTAAACCATATGTGTTTTATTTTATAACAATTTAATACAATCATTAAAAAACATTTACAAACAAAATACGCTTCTTTTTAATCTGAGTACATTGTGACAACTCGTTTAAATTACATAAAATATTCAGTATAAATAAATTCAGTTTGTATTACTAATTTAAAGACATTTATGAATATATCATGATTCATTTTTTTTTTTTATAAATATCGAGTCTGTTATTTCTAAATATATTTCTTATAAATATATATGTCCAATGAGTTTTGAAGATCTTGTGTAAAGACAGCGCAAAAAACGATGCAAACGACAAGTGTATAACGACACCTTATCAGAAATATATGGGAATATTCATAAACTTTGCATAAGTAATTATACCTTATGAATATCGCATGAATGTTTCACTCCTTTAAGCTAAAATTACATGTTTTTGTTACAAAATAATACAAAGAAATAAAAATTCAGATAGAGATTTCTGGATGCCTTTTGTTGGACCATACATCTCGAATGATTTTAAACGACAGTCTAGGTCTACGAATCCATGTCAAACTGATCTATGCATCTAGCTAAGTGAAAATATATATCCTAATTGAAAAAAAAAAGAAATATTGAAAAACTGCCATTAAAAACTAAAAACATTTGAGAAAACTTCACCCTGAAATCTCAAAGTCACATTCACCTAGATAAGATTCATATAGATCATAAGATGACCCACTCGAAATAGAATAAATTTTATTGGAAACATTTTTCCGAGTAACAAATTGTTCGAGAGACAGTCATACGTGCATAAGTTCTGATGTAACACCCCGTATGCAAGTACTTATGTGCGCGTTAAAAATGTTGAATATTTTTAGAATTTATTCAAAAATTTGGTGTATAATATAACTATATAAGATCAAAATGATCCAATTCGATGAGTGAGGATTAAAAAATAAACTTAAAGATACACTATCTTCGAAATGTATCGCATTATAAAGTTTTATTCGCTCGAGATTTTATTTTATCTGTTTTTCGTGTGCATGGAATAATTTTTGAAGTTAAGAAATATATAATCCCAACAGAAGGATATAGAATGACGAAAATGATAGATTACTATACTTTCTGATTTTTCCCTGTTTTTTATCCTTCTTAATTGATATTTATATTAAAGTCTGTAATTGGCTGAATGTTTTCTATGAATGAACTCCAAAGTAATCCCTAATGATCTCAAACGGACCTTGAAGGGTCGTAGGATGAAATTGACAAATGCCATCTTTATCTCTAAATTAAACTAATATTAATGATATAACGTGTTTTACATAATGTAATATTAAATAACAATACATTCAATATTATATTACATAATATGTTCAATATACAATATACCCAATATTTTATTATATAATATATTACACAATATACTTAATATTATATTATATAATATACCCAATATTAACCTAATATTAATTTCCATTAATATAAACACTATATTAACATTCATCGTAATAACCTGCTTGACTGTTTTTGTAAATATTATATAATAATTGGTCAAACATAATTTCGATGTAGGAAAAAGCAGAAACTGAACCAGATAGATTAGGAGCTGAAGGTGCTGCAGAACGCGAAATCGAAAAATTAGAGGATGCAGAGACTGAGATTACCAAACCAGAAGAAACTAAACCTGAACCATTCGAACCGCCTCGTTTGAAAAAAGGAATAATTGCAGTATGGCGAGCACGCTGCATTACGCCATATAATCCTGATTTATTGCCACCTGAACCAGTTCCTCTACAGGAAGAGGTAAGATTGTGCACGGTTAACAGAAATTGTTGTGATAAAATATGCATGATTGTTTTATCGTCTTCACACGATAAAATGTTTTTCGAACTGATTCATTGATTGACTAAAGAAAATATTTTATATTATCAAAGATCTATAAAAATTTTCGGTACCATTATGTTTAAATTTCGAGGATGATATGCGAAAACAAAAATGGCAGGTTTGAAGAAATTAATCTTACGCAGATTCGATAAGATAATTGAATTGAAATATTTTTTACAAATATTTGAAGTACACGAATGTGATTGAGAAATATCGTATTATTAATTTTACACATCCTCTTCTGTTTTCCAATTTCGTGTAGTAATTCAAAACTATTCTTAATTGTGTGTAATCTTATTAAATAGTAGTTTTTATTATGTAATTATTAGTAAATAAAACGTTACATTATTATTAAGTAAACAAAGTATGATTAAACTACTTATGGAAAAATATTATGCCGGGAAATAAATTATAATCTCATTTAAAACGTAAAAGAAACAGTAAATTTAAAATAATGAACTTAATTTAAAAAGATGAGATTAAAGATATATTGCATCCGGAAGTCTATAAAATGAGTCATATGAACTTATATAAATCGATATCTGAATAACTATCCAAGATTTAAAAGCTATCCTTAAAGATTCTCTAACACTAAAGAACAGTAGATTAACTATAAAATTATTTTAATAAAAAAAAATTGATTTACACGATACTTCAATTTATAAAAATTCGAATCCGAAGAATAAAAAGGGTATGTTTGGATATTGTATATCAACATAGTAGGAAATTATATTTTTTTAAATCTCGAACAATAAAAACACTTGTATCAATTATCTTTTAACTTGATAAAACGATTCAAAAAGATCTTGAAATGTAATACTTCGTTAAATTTAAAAATACTTATATTTATCACGAATAATTGATATCATTTTATTAATGAAATACCAAAGCTTTCCTCAATATCTCATTTAAAATGATAAAAATCTAACTTTAATTTGTTCTTGATATTAAAACTGATATAACATAATATGAAATAAACAATTTTAATTAACAAATTGATTTTGATGTTCTAAATTAATTCCTGAATTGACTTTTTAGGTATCCTTGGATTCTTTGGTAGATAAATGTTCAGAAGAATTAGTAATGGCACCAGAACAATACTTAAAATACGAGGACGAATATGAAGGTGAAGACCAAGAATATTATGAGGAAACTAACTATCATAGACCATCCGTTGAAGCAATATAATTAAAAAAATTAAATATAAAGTGAGACATAATGTTAACTATTTTGCCATTGACTGTTACACTGATTTGTTAAAAAGTTAAATTCTTACATAATTTATTTCCACAATTATTTGCATAGTTATTAGTCTTACGATAATTTTCCATGTTAATTTGATCAATAGTGCAGAAAATGAAAAATTTATAGATTTTGTAAAATTAATTTTGTTTCATTCCACCATTACTATATTTTAATCAGAAGGGAAAATGTGTAATAGAACACTATAAACAATTGTGTAAAAATAAAATTTGCCTTATTTATACAATTATATAATTGGATTAAATAGTATTATCATGACTTTTGTACACTTTAGCGAGTTTACAGAATTTCATGAAGATACTTTTCACAATTAAAAAGAAAAATATATAAAAATAATTATAATACAACGTAAACTTATACATGCTTGATTACATCATACATATGGTTAGGCAAAAACGCAACATGTTTTTAAGCAGTTTATTTAGGAAATTATAATAACAAATGTGCGTATGTGCCCATAATATTCAGACAATGTAAAGAACGTATTTTACAGGCACGCGTAGGTCTTGTTCGAAAGTTGCATTGATCAAAGTGTTTAAAGTGTATATGTATGTATATGTATACGTATATATGTACGTGTATTACATTGAATATCAGCAACAAATAGAACGTGGGTACGTATTTATAATAGTAGCTAAGCGTACGCACAAGATAATTGCAGTCTATTCGGTTTTATTAGAAAGATTAATCTTATGTAGTCATAGATACGCAAGAAATTTTTCGTATTCGCTACATCCTTAAAAGCGCAAGCTCACTCATATCATTCGTTTATTTACTTCTTTTTTTTTTTTCCTTTTTTCCCTTTATGGCATACAAGCGTTGTATTTCACAAGTACGTTCGTCGGTGGAAATATGTAAATAGATTACTATTTATATATGTATAGAAAGAGAGAGAAAGAGAGAGACAGACAGAGACAGACAAACAGACAGACAGACAGACAGACGGTCAGACAGACAGACAGACAGACAGACAAACAGACAGACAGGCAGAGACAGAAATAGAGAGAGACAGAAATGACGTCGAAATATATTTACATTATCTGATTGAACAGGATTTAAATAGGAAGACGAAAACGTTGCCCTGAAAAGTACAGATAAACAAGTTGTATGAAAGTGGAAGAAACGTAACATTAATAAAATGTCGAGAAATACAGTTTGTTTTTCAAATCAAAGATTCTCCATCTACTATTATGTTAACCTAAATACCAATCAAATAGAATGATTTCTTAAAAATTGTTCTTTTTAACAATACTAATAAATACTGGCATTCAAATAGTTTTGAAATACTATAAGGGGCGTGTATTTAATATATATATTAAACCCCTTATTCTTCAAACGGTTATTCGATTACATTGACAATAAAGACTCAATGGAGGTCGAAAGGTTTCAAAAGGACGGAGGAGAGGGCAAAGGAATAAAAACGTACTTTGCGAAGTATCGCAGTCTTTAAACAATAACCTACTTGTAGAAGTGAATGTGACAATTTTCACTTGTGGTATAACTTCAATAACTATCGTTCAGACGCCACAGTATAGCATCATGATTTAGTGCATTGATAACGGTAAAATTGTTTATATATACTGGGACCTCGATTTACCAACTTAATCAGAACCGAAGTAACTTGATTAAATTGAGGCACAGGGTGAAAAAATTAAAAATACAATTTACATAAATAACAGATTATTCCATCTGATGAGAAATATATTCTCTTTTATGATACACATGTATATATGTATTTATATTTCTTTTTGCTTTTTTAATTTTGCTCTTATATATACTTTGTCACGACATAGTCGAAGATGACGGATTTAAAGAAAAAATCCTAACAAGAATAGAAAGGCTTTATACAAAGTGTCGAAAAAGAAAAAGAAAAAGGAAAAAAAAAGAAAAACGAACAAAACAAAGGAAGTCGAAAGAGATTTTGTTCACAGTGAATCGTTGACAAAGTACATTCAGGTAGGAAATTAAAAAATAAAAAGAAATAAAAGATCTATGTAATCGTATGCATAACGAAGAAGAGAATATATCTCTTCCGAAATTAAGAAACATTTATTGGAAGTATTCTTTTTGGAAAGTAGAAAGTAATTCAGAAGCCAATATTAGATACCTTATTGTTGTGTGTACTTTATCTTGTTACACCAGATAACCGAGGCTCGAATAATCAACACTTCGGTTAACCGAGACCGCGGACAATCGAATTTCAGTTAATCGAGGTCCTATTATACGTTATCACAGTGTTCGATGACACTCGTGCGTTAGAATATTTTTTCACTTTTTTTATGACACGTCCTGAGATTTTACTCAAGTTAAGAATATTCGTATGAATTGAGGGTCAATGCAGATGATCGACGTTTTAATAGCAAAATACTTCGATATACGGCTTTTGCGATTTCTTGGCACAATATCAAAAGAATTCGCGATTATTGCGAAATATCCACAGCCCTGAATTGATTAAAGCATCATCAACCATTTTTATTTCCGTTTTCCTTTTTCTTTTTTTTTTTTTTTGTTCTCTCCACGTGTATATCAATTTAAAAAAATTGATCGATTTTCGTATGTTCATTTCACACAATTCATAGCAAAAATCGTCGTATCTATTGAGATGTTGAAACACAATCAAGTATGCTTGAAAAATCAGGAAACGTTGCCATGAACGATTACAAGCATCAAATTTCGAAACTCGAGCGCATTTTATGTGCATTTAAACGTGTAAACGATCCGTTCGTAGATTGTTGTTTTAAGCATCTAAGGTACGTAAAGCGTGGACGAATTTTTGTGCCCTGTTATAATGTGACTTGTATATCCACAAGAAATTTTTGTTTTTTATTTCGCAACACTCATCGTTTTGTTCCCAAAATAATAGATCTTCAAACGACTGTTTCTCTTTTTGTCATGAGATCATGATGTTTTACATTATATCAACCGTTGAAATACGATAGTTGCTACCGAAATACTGCAAAAAACTGCAGTTATCAAACCCAAGAATATGTAAGTAACTGTAATTAACCAAAAGGCAAATAAATATAAGGTTTTGTTACAATATTTGCCAAGAGCTGGATCATAATTTGGTTCATATTCCTTATATACCCACATTGAGCCTGTGAGCAAACACAAAAAGTTTAAAAATGGAAGAATTATGAACATCCAACAAACATTTAATCAACATGCTTATATTACTGACCTATAATAAACCAACCAAGCATAAAACAATTAATTAATGTTTGCATAGGAGATTGTTGTATTCTTTCCACATCTCGTTCTTCTGGACATTGGCGTACTCTTACAGATAACTGTAATAATTGTTGGAACACACCAAACCCACCACCCACTAATAAATAAACAGGAATATATTCTCCTTGTGGGCAATCATAAAGATAAAGTCCTCCAATGACCATCATACATATTGGAATTACTAATGTTACTCCTAAGATAATTGTACATCCAACTAAAATTACCAAAATGTGAAATTAATAATTCCTCATATTATAATCTGATAAAACAGTAATTTACATTTTTGCTTACTAGTGCCTAAAAGTAAGACGATAATATTTTTCAAAAAATCAAACACTCCTTTTGAAACTTTATGTGCTTCTCTCATACGACCAAACAATGAATCGTAGGATGGAGGGGGAGCTAGAAGATAAAAACAATCACTTCTTCAAGATACTAATTATACAAATAGCTTTCCAAAAGTCAAATAAACAGAAATATCTTTATTATAATATTACTTTCACTTCAAGGAAATTGCAAAGAAACATTTTTCACATTAATTTTTACATACGCTTAACATTTCTATATAATATTACAGCAAATTATTCAATTAAAATTTCTTTTTATTAGAAGTATTATTTACCATTTGGATCTATGGCTTCTTCATAGGAAGGAGGTGCACCACAATCATTACTCAAAGTAGACGGGTGTCCCAGAGGTAAATTAATATTGTGATACGAAGGTGGAGGTGTATAGCAAGTCGATGCTATTTCTGTGCCAGGATTCACACTTTCGCTTGTACTGACGAAATTACTTTGATTTATTTGAGTTGACGGCATCTCGTCGGATGTATTTGTTGCTTGAAGCCAATGCATAGGATTTGCATTAAAAATTCCTTAATTCGTCCTTGTCAATACTGACAATAGCACGTATATAGTTTTCTAACCTCTAAATAGGTTTCACTACTTCGGTACTCTTTATGTGTCGTTTAAAACTGCATAACGTCAAAATATGACACGAATTTTTAACAGTGATATAAGTCGTGTAATTAAAACGACTTAAAATGTTATGCACTTCCAATTGTATTCAGATTGTTGACACAAGTAAAGAAAAATAAACACCCTCGAGTTGGTTGGATGTTCTTTGAAATATATCGTGACGACGATACGTTCGGGTTCACTAAACGGCCAAAAGGTAAAAATTATGCAACGTTCAGTTTCATTTCGAAAGAAAAAAACAAAGTATATAGTTTGGAAATTCACGAACTGTCACACCCCCGTTTCAGGAAACGCAAAACAATGTTATTGCACAAACCGGCATCTACACTTGGTTATGCCCACTTCTACTTAAACAAACTAATGTAAAATCGTCACACCGCGAAAGTATGCAACATCTCTTATGAGTCTTCATAACATAATAGAATTATCTTTAAAGACACCATTAATTTGAGAAACTTACATTTGCGCCACAATAAACCATGTGCGGCGTACGTACAAATTATACTTTGTATCGAATACTGGCAGACATGACGTTCGATATTGGTCGATTATCAGTCGACGTTTCAATCCCAAATGCGGCATTATTTGAAATCTATTCCATACAATTGTTATCTATTAATATCTTTAAATTGTATGCGCGATAAGCTCTCGTTATTAAAAGTTTAGATAGCAATATTCATATTAAAACAAAATATTAAATGAAGAATTAATCTAATTCTATTCAACTATAATAATAAAAGTATTAAAAATGGAAAGAAAAAGCGAAAATCTTTTTATAAAGTAATTGACTCTATGATTATAGATTTTACTATTTTTACCTTACAGTTAATTGAAGCTTAGATAAAACATTTATGCGACTATTTATTTTTTTAATATATCTTTTAATAACAAATACTATATATGCAGATACGACAGTGCTATGAGTGAATAAGAAACAGTAATAAAATAAATTTATGTATAATTAATTTTAAATAATATGATATTATGATAACAGATATTATATTTATTTGGTCATTTTATGTTTTAGGAAAAATCTCTTTTTTTACTAGTATTCATTTTAAGATATTTAAATTTTTTAGAAATTTTTCATTAACAGACCAATTAAACAGGTAATTTCTTATTTATGTTTGTAAATTATATCGGTATTATTTATTTAAACAAAAAAAACAAATCTTCCTCAAATTTTAGCATAAAAACTCAAACATTATAATTTATTAAATTTATAATATTTCCTCGAGATTCTTTAATTATTTTATTTTGTCAAATAATAATATTCTATCATAACAAAAAGATCCATTGTTACTTAATCTGGAATTGAAAAAAAAGAAAAAAAAAAAGCGAGACACTAACGAAGCAGACGTAACTTCCTACGGATTATTTTCGATAATCTTGTTCAATTACGAGCACGAAAATTGATGCTTGATATCTTGTTTGTTTTTCTCATTCTCTACAGTATCATGGGTGATTTTTCCTGTATGTACAATTTTATTTCCCACGGTTTCATGTCTGATAAGTGATAAAAAGTCACGCAATCATAACTTATTTCATTCTACTCATAATCTTAAGAAGGATGCAATTGTTAATGGTTTATTGTTTCAAAACAAACCAATCACAGTGACAATATAATACAGGGAGGATCGTTTATGGCTTTAAATATGAACCGTTCGCCAGTTGGATAGCATAGACATTTTCTTAACAATTGTTGAACAATTTCTGTGTAAGAAGTCATCATGCAGTCGTCGACTGGAAAATTGTTATTAGTGTTTGTTCTGTGTATTGTTTCGATACTACACGTTAAGGTGAGATTCAGAACGTTTAAACGTGTGCTATTTCATATATATCTTTTTCAAATTAAAAATAAATTTTCCTTTTTATTTGAATTATACGTGTTAAAACATTACGAAAATTTAATACTGAATATATTGCAAGTGTGTAGAGAATATCGCGAAGAATAATTACAATTAAGTATCATTGTTATACCAAGCCATAAAAATGCTTAGAAATTTTAGAAAATTTTTTACAGTGAATATGTTTAATGTGCTATTGTTAATATCCCTTTTTCAAATATATTTTTTATTTTATTCTTATTTCTACTTCCTTTTTCACAAATTGTTAAGCATCAAATACCTTCGAATTACTTTTTACATAATCCAATTATTACTTCCGTTGCTTTACAGTAAATAGTAAAAATAATGTAAGATTATTAATACAATTAACATACAGTGTAAAAATTTAATGTTATTGAAAGAAAAAATAATTCCCTTTTATTATATGAAAACTTAATTTAAAAAACTCGAACATAATTTATATGTGTATTGCATGCAAAAGTGCAATATGTGTATTAAATGCATATTGCGAAGTACGTAATGTTAATTATTCAGTTGTAATTTTTTATTTGTATTTTTTAGGCTGAAAAAGAAATTTCAATAGTTTTCTTCAATGTCGACGTCTCAAATAGTGACATACTAAATTCATGGGATGGCGATCTTGCAGATAATCTCATTAGTTCAACGATTAATGTTAAAGAAAACTGTCCAGGTCAAATAGAGGTATACCAGTTATTATTTATATTTAAATATTACCTTATATTATTTTATCGTTATTTAATAATATATTCTAACTGTATTAATTAGCCCGATATTGTAATAGTATTCAAATATTCTAATATGAATAAATTAAATAATTATATACAATTATCTTTACATTTTCGGTAAAATCTGCAAATATAATAGACTGAAATAAGTTCGTTTCATTGTAGGCCGATATAAGGATTTACCAAGGTGATAATCTGGTTAATACTATGAACAAAAAATATGACAAACCGATGAATGAATTCGAAAATCTCGATATTTGCGGATCAGTTGAGGCTCCCGAGCCTGATGATGACTCATGCTCTATCGCAGAGGTAAAAGAAAAATATTTATACGTCATAAAATATTTAAACAATACTATATATCTTCTCTTAAAACCAAAATTTCAAGACGCTTACAGGAAAAATTCGTAGTAATTAAAAGCTACATAAAATAATTTCATATCCAATATAATATTAATATTCTTAAAAGTACATTGGCTGAAGAATTTTGATTATTCTATGGAGAAAATGGTGTAAAAATTGCAAATTATTTCTATGTAGTGACACAAATTTGTATTCTTTATCATAACCTTGTGGTTATAAAGATAACAATGATTATTGTGCAAAATTGTCCTACGTACTAAAATATTTATAAAACCTATATATCTCTCATATAATTATCTACTCACATACAGAGATTATATAAGACAGATATGATCTATTTATATTTCAAGTATATTTTTTCCTCTTAATTTATCATCACAAACAGAAATCAACTGATTGGTAATAAAATTGCGTATGGATATTAACATTCAAATTTCATCGTCCAGGGTGAACAAACGGCCAAAGATTGCGATATAAGAAGCTGGTTCAAAGATATGTCTACCGGAGAATATAACATTGAATGCGATTTTAAGCGGTTAAACGATTTAATTTGTACCGTCAAAGTGGGCGTGAAAATAGAAGGTGATGATTGATAAAACATTCAGTTTCGTTTGAAATTACTATCTAACACAATTTCACATTTGTAATTGCTAATGATTAACTGCTACTTATTAAATAGTGTAAAAATAACTAGTATTTTGGAATAATAAAGATATTAGCATATACATGGCTGTTACTTATCTTTTATATTTGTAATATATTTATATTTATATTTACTTTTATTACAAAAGTATTTTGAAAAAGACAATTAGATTTAATTAATTATTTCAAATTAATTTTTTGTTTAAGTTAATACTTTTAACAAAATTACATGTTTATTATATTTTCCTATTGTATCTATGATTTTCTATTAAATTCTAAAAACAAAATACAAATTTCCTAAATAATACCTTCTATCTATTATAAAATTCTATGAATTTAGAATATACTTTTCGCAAAAATACCTATGATAAAAAAATTGTATAAATATATTTTTATTTAAACAGATAAATTGTAATATGTATTATTTATTTCTAATATAAAAATTATAAGACATAATTTTGTATTATTTCAGAAACCACAATTCCTTTTATTTTTTATTATAAATAATACATAAACACACACAGTTAATTTGCATTATCTTTTACTGGACACATTTCAAAAATTTCAACAAACTGTTTTGTTTTTGAAAAAGAAAGATAATAACAAAGTAAAAAATGAAGATACAACAGAAGAATGGTAACTTTACTTATATTTTCAAAATTTTTTTTTACCAATGTATTCCTTTCTTCTGTTAACACTTTTATAAATTTTGACTGAAATTTCTTCTGTGAATCGTCAAGAACCTTCTACTATGCAATAATAACAAATAATATTAATTAGACAGTTTTTAATATTCTTCATACTGAATATTTTTTAATATTTTAATAAAATTACGTTTCTAATATTTGTCGTCATAATATATTTCACATATATTATTTTTAAGTAAAATAAGAATGCTTACTTTGGCATTAGAACTTCTTCTCACACTTAATATATTTGATGAATCAATATTACTTTCTATAATAAAAATAACTGAGATAAATTTCATTATCCTTTCAAAATTACGTTAAAAATAAAGCTTAAAATTAATTAAAAGAAATAATAATATTTCCTGGAATCAGTGAATTTTGAAATTTGAATTGTTTAATATTTTTAATATCAGCTTTTACTGGTTGATATAGACTATGCTGTTAGTTAACAAAAATAGATTTATTAACTGTATGATTTAAGTAATATTTGAATTATAATTTTATAAATATGTATAATATATTTTATTATTAATCTTACTTTATGGTTTTCTAACTTTTTTATTTCCTGTAAATTTTCTGTGAAACCTGAAATAATAAATAAATACAAAATATTTATATACAGACTTCAGAATAAAATTATCATTTTACTAAACTATCTCTTCAAAGAAATTTAAAACACCTTTTAATGGATGATGAACTTTTTTTGAAAGGATCCCATTGAACAAAGCTACCTTTGCTGTATTTGAATGCTTCAAATGGTAAATTTATCATGTTAATTAATTAGCAAATTAGAATTTATTTCTTTTCCATAGTAATAAAAATTTACCAATTGTAAAGGCATCCAAATATGATCTCTACCACCACGTAATCGTACCTTAGAATTTGCTTGGACAAAATAATGAAGAAAGTTAATTGTTATAATAAATTACCATTTTCCATTATAGTATATATTTTACTTTTTAATATTTTTTATTTTTGAAACTGTATCAAATTATATGTGATTAAAAGATGAAACAGTTTAAATTAGTATTTTGGTTAAAATAATTTATATTTAATTTATACATTTTTCATCTACAATTTAAATAAATTTTATCCTTAAAAAGAATAAAATTGGACAAAATTATTTAATTATTGTTAATTATAAAGGATAACATACCTTTAACTTAGAATAAAACAATTTGTTTGTAAATATATATGATATAAAAGTAATAGAAACATGTGTTCAATGATATTACTAATATTATATTAACATATAATAATGTTTGACATGAAATGAAAAATTTCATTTAAATATAAATTAAAAGTGTAGTTAGAGGTTAGGTCATACTTCGAATTACACAGGTCACCCCAAAATTATCGCGCGGTTTACAAACTTCACTTTTTAAACAAGTTTTCATATTTTATTATACGTTTTATACTTTTCAAACTACGAATTGTTATTCATAAATATTAATAATTAATATCAATTAATATCAATAATTAATTGATATTAATTATAAGTAACAATCGCGATCACTCAATCAAAATCCTATTTCTTACCTTTTTATGTCAGTTAAAAATAAATATAACGATTGTCATATTTTTATTTATTATCTTTTTTATTTAAAAGTTTCATTATAGAGAAATTAATATTAAATAAAAAATAAACTACTGATAATGAAAGTTAAAAACCAAGTTATTTTTAGAAATGAATAATAGTGTAATGATTATTAATAAATTACGTATGTTTATACTTTCATAACTTATATTTGATAATTACTTTAACTTTAATAAGTTTAACTAATAATGAAATACAAACCATTGAATTATTTAAAATATATATATTTCAATTTAAATAGATGAAGTTATTGTTAATATTCATATTTAATAAAACGAAACCATGACAGTGTATTTCAATATTTATTCATATTGATTCGTTTTATGTTTTATTTTGTACCTCAATATAAATAAAAGTTATTCTGAGCAAATATTTTTTTTTTTGTAAAAATAATATTAACATTTGTTAGAAATTTACGTAAATTTCAGGTATTGCAAGATTTGGCTTCATTTATTCTCTGTTAGTATTATTATCTTCTTGCGGATTATATCTGCGAATTAAGTAAAGAACTTTGATAAGTACATGTAGACATATTTTGAAATATTCTGTTTGAAATTTTCGAGTGGAAAAAATTAAACTTAATTATTCGTACGTATAAATAAATATATTCTAATTATTTAAAAGCTTTATATTTTTGTACGCTTTATTAACTACTAATAGTAAATTCATTAAATAAAATCAAATATTCATTCTCTAGTGACCTTTATACCTATTAACGCAATGTTGACCTTTGCCTGCAATGAAAACCAATCAGCTGATACTTTTCCACAAAAATGATTTTTAAATGAACTTCACAAAACGTCGTAATAACAGTTTCATTAATTTAGTTGGCAGCGCATATTTGTGTGCTTTGGTAGAAAGATTTCTGTCGGACAGATATTCTTACTAATACTGAATGACAATATGTACGTCTTTAAAATATTAAAAAACGTATCTACTTCAATGCCATAAATATTTTTCTCATATTCATTTTTTTAGTGTGCTATCATATTACAGTTGACAGCTATGTTACTTCGAAAATGTTTTTTTGGCAGATTATTCAACATATTTGGTTTATAGATTAATTATATTCTATAGTGGATATCACTGTGAAATATGGATAACGTGACAGTGAGTACTAAATTTCAATTTTGAGTAAAAAAAGTTTTTTCTAACCTTAAACTATATATTAGTTTTTTTATCATGATATATCTATTTCTTTTTTTTTTTCATTATATTTATTTGGAAATTTATTGTCAGATACAATATGTATCATTTTTTTCTTTATGTGTTTTGATAATGTAAACTTTGAATTCATATATATATTATACTGTATATTTATAAAAGAAGTGTATTTAAAAATTAAAAATTAATTTTATTTTAAAATGAAATTTTTATGTAATAGCATATTGTTATATATTGTGTCATGTCTATAGGGAATAATACGTGCCATGTATCGAGGATTTGTGGATAGCTTAAGAGGAGCTATTGTTTTGTTTTATATGGACAAACATATTAATGAAAAGATATCTAGACCTCCCTCCTCTAAATTAGAAATTCATGGAAAAGACGCAGCTATTATACCTCATGCTTCAAAACATTTTAATCACTTAAGGTACTAGATTTTAATCATAGTTAAACTATGAAATTATAAATACACTGTTATATAATTTTACATATGTGAATATTATGATTTATTTTCAGAGAATCAAAGGTATTAAAAAGAACAATTCAATGTTGTGCATTAAATGGTGGTGTATTTTGGGCCAGCATTTTGATATTTGAATGTGGTTTACTTCCATTTCTCAAGTACTTATTGAGCATTATATTTGGCCATTCACCGGGTATGGGTATGACTGTGTGGTCTTGGATGAAACCATTTCTATCATTGACTTTTGGCACTGTATGGGTACTACCACTATTTGTGCTCAGTAGGATAGTCAACAGTTTATGGTTTCAGGTATGAGTTATTTGATCTCAGAACAAGAAGCTTTGGCCAATAACCATTGAAGGAGTTAATATCACATGCTATATATTTGTAAACCATGTAGGACATAGCGGACAGTGCTTATAGGTATAGACAAGGAAGGCCATTACTTTTGTCCAGTGTGAGCAAGCTCATAGCAGACACGCTTTTCAGTATATTGGTTCAAGCATTATTTTTGGGTCAAGGAATGTTGGTATCCAGGATTCCATTACCTCTTGTAGGTGATATCCTTGCCCTTATACATATGTGCCTTTTATATGCTCTCTATGCTTTTGAATACAAGTGGTTTAATATGGGTTGGGAATTACATAGACGATTAAGTTTTATTGAAAGTAATTGGCCATATTTTGTGGGTTTTGGCCTGCCACTAGCAGTACTTACTCAACTGCCAAGTTCATATGTAATAAGGTACATTGTCCCAAATGTTTTCTTCTTTTTCCTTTTCTATGCAGTAACATTTAATAAATAAATTACTGTTATTTCAGTGGCTGTGTTTTTTCTATACTGTTCCCATTATTTATTGTAAGTGGAAATGAAGCAATACCTGTAACTGGAGTATGGTATGTATTTTAGTGTTATTAAAGTTTATACAAATGTAGTCATTGATTTAACTGAACACCTTTTTATTTTTTGTTTAAGTGACTGTCCATTAAAATTATTTTCACCAGTAATTGCTATTGCAAATACACTTTTCAACAAAACAATTGGACCCAAACGGTGACATAAAAGGACATAACCAATCCCTTTGGAATGATAAATATGTAGCCATAAACAGTTTTTTTCAGATTGTCACATAATTTTTAGCAATTTTTATCAGGTATATGCTTAATTAATTTTCCTATGTTACTTCCTGAGTTGATAGAGCAATTGAGGATGAAGATTTCATTTTATTCTTTTTCTAGAAAAATATAAACAAAATTTAAGACAAATTATATACTATAATAGAATTATTTGTAAATAGAAACACATTCAAATTATGTATGTAGATATACAGAAATGAATTGCAGTAAGGAGTATTTGTGAATGAATTATACTGAGCAAAATGTTATTCAAGACACACTAACAGTAGAGAATTTATAAATTTGATAACATTTAAAAGATCAGTATAGATGTTCCTTACTGTACTGCAAGCGATCAAACTCAAAGTTTTATACATTTTTATTATTATTATTAAAATGTGAAAAAAATAATATGCTTCGATAGAATAAGTGCATAAAATTTCACATACCTTTTATAAATTACATAAACTAAATAAATTGTAAATATCATTGCCTAAATATTTGCACAACTGAAAATAATTTTTTTATTAAATTAATTGATATATATTTGTATATATGTTTATTTATTTAACTAAATTCTAACTCTGATTTGTCGAATTATGTTATATTATACAATATAATAAACTTACTAGCAATTATAAATAATATTTCAGTAATTACATTATTTCTAACAAAACAAATGTAAACATAAAATTCTGTAAAAGAGGAGTTTATATTGCTTTACAAATATATATAAATGATAGAATATAAAAGTAACAAAATTTACAAACAAACATATCATTCTAATATATATCTTCTGTAATCAATTCATTGTATTTGATATCTTGTTGTGAAAAGAAATTATCATTTTCTATTACCATGAAGTGCCCAGTTTTTTTCCATTCTAACTAGTCAATATTAAAATTCATAAGTTGTGATGTATAGTAATATTTATTGTAAAATATTTACAACTAAAATGAAAGTTAATTTGCTTAATTATATTTATAAAATACTGAAAGGCGTTTTCATAATATGAATACTAATTATTTTGACATTGATATTTAGATAAAATTTATTTAAAATATATAGTTTTGCTATGATATGATGTAGTTAAAAGTACAATATGCTAAATAAATATTTACAAGATTATGTTTTGCAAATAATTTTTATGTTACTTAATTTAATATTATTTATACCTTATTTCAATAAGATAGACAAGTATTATATTTAATAAAAATAAATTGCTTTATATACATTATAGTTTAATAAATAATACAAAATAATGGTCTTTAGTATGTTACTAACTTTAAGGGTTTTTCTATTTTTTTATATAAACAATAAATGTATATATAATATTAAAAATTAATATTTTATAACAATAAAATTTGCATATTATGTTAATACATAAAGCAAAATATTTTTTCTTTTTCTTTTTGGGAACAAAGATTTTTTTATTAACAGTATAAAAATCACGAGAGAAGTTCTTGAAGAGTTAAAAGATCATTATCAGGTGGTTCTTCTTTAATTCTATACGAATTTCCTAAAGCAAAATGCCTATGTAAAGCAGCAAATCCAAGCCCTGGATCTGCTTCTTCTTCCATTATTGGGCTTGTTCCCCTTTCCATTGTTTGATTTTTGCTTACCTTAGCATTTAAAAGATATATTACGATTTTAACAATTTTAATTGTAATTTTATTTGTATATTAAAATTTTCAAATTTCGAATTACATACTTCAAAACGTTGTTGTTTATACATAACTAATTTACGAGTACCAGGTGTACTTTGTATAAGATTTTGTATAGTAGGATGTGAAATTCCAAAGAAATCAGCCCCTTTTGGTGTTATTGAACAAAGTGCAAGAGAAATTGCCATTAATAGCTTAGAATGGCATTCATCAGGGGTAGATCCAACCAGTGGTTGATCTAAATCATTATCAGATACAATTTCAAATCTATAAATAAATAAAAATATTTTATTTATATGTATATAAAACTACAAGTATTGATTATATTATTTGTTAATGCAATTATATAGCTTAGTTTATTACATACCTTGGTTTTGGTCCACCATCTAATATCTTACATGTATACAAGCTTTTTGTTCTTACATCTCTTAAATTAGCATATACCCTTGTACTACAATAACCTACTGGATAAATGAGATCTTCTGTATGATAAGCTATCCTGTCTGATACTACTTCTCCAAGGGAGTAAACAGTGAGATCACCCAAAGCAATAGGAAATATAGGTCTTCCATGGACATCTAATGGTATTAATTGGACTACTTTCCTTGCAGTTTTATTGTAACGTTTAGTCTTATTTTTAGTTTCTGGAAAAGGTAAAAAGTTTAAATGATTTGAACAAAAGTAATTTTTGCCAAAATATTTAGAGAAACATATCTATTCTATTATGTACTTTAGATTTATTCCTATTAACTTATAATTTAGCTGTATAGGTCTTCAGTAGTCATAAACAATTTATTATAATATTTTTGTTTAACTGAATTTATATTTTAATATTTAAATACCTGACCCATCAGTTGATACTCTTTTCTTTGCAGTTTTTTTAGGTGTAGAACATTCTGGATTAAATGAATTAGTATTAATATTGTTTGATTGAGATCGAACTATCATACTAGAAGGATCTATGTCTCCTTGTTGCTGACATAATTTACGTAAAAGAAAGAGCCTTTCCTCCTTTACAAGCATAAGATTTTCTTGCATTTGAGCAACTTGATCACACAATGCTGCATTTTCCTGCAATTATAAATACACTCTATTTTTCATAGTAAGCTCATAGTTTTCATAGTAACCTTATACTGTTAATGTTCTGTCTTATTTATACTTTGTTGAAATAATAATTCAGCTTTATAAAAAGAAAAAAACATATCAATGAATAATCTTACGAATACTGTATCCTTTATGATCCTTTTTAATCTTCGATATTTCTTTTTGTATTTTAAATTTTGCTGTAACTCCGCATTTTTTTGAAATTCACTGTAATAATTATCATAAGCTTGAGTCATTTTAACTTCATTATACCCAACATAAAATATCAGAAAAGGTTATGATCGAGTGATGTTTGTGATTGTTTTTTTGTCAAATATGTTAGGTTATGTCGTAGCCTAGGATTATAGAAAAGATAAGATAGTAAAATACTTGGAAAATTTATGACATGTCATTATTTCAATTTCGCTATTTTATATTGTATATTTATCCCATTACTAGAAAAGGAGTATGAAAAAATCTTACTTTTTAATTTTAAAAGAAATAAAATTCTCTAAATATAATTAATATAATTATTATACTTTACTCGAAAAATAATTATAAAAATAATTATAAAAGCAATTATAAAAAGTTTTTACGTTTCCATATATCGCTTATCTTCTAAAATCAGTTTCATACGATATTAAAATAATACAGTATGAAATATGTAAGTCTAATTGTTGTATAATTAATTATGGTATTTGCCTATTTAAAAATTATTTTCTGGATTAAATGATATGTCGATTTTAAGTTTTCCGGATTTTGTACTTTATAGTAATAAAATAAGAACTCATTTACATACCTTTCCTACAACAAATCATGATTGTTCTCAAGTCTTTTAATTTTATACATTGAGATTTATTCGCAAATTTTTCTATTTTCTATTTATTCAAATATTAACAGAAGGAGGTACAAGAAAATGAAACTAGTAAAAGTCAGCAGTAAACTAATCTTGTTTATCATTACTATGCCTAATACCAATTTTAATACAACTAATACACCAAATTTGAAGTTAATCAAAATATTTCTACATCATTTGTTCAAAATTGAGAAATTACTCTTAAACTCAAACAATGAATTACCTTCAAATTCAAATAATAAATTATGGACTTGGACTATAATATATGAACTCATAAATATACTGTGCAATATATCCAAATTAACGATCCTAGAATTCATTCCACATGTCAATCCTGATAAAAAAGTCTCCTTCCTCTTCAACAGTCTTGAAAGAGATATTGAAGATATCCTATGACATTTTTCCATATCTAATCTATCTTTTACTTTACTTGCTTATCTTAGGGGTAAAGGTTCTGAAGCATGAAAGGGAAGAAAAGGGTGAATTTTATTTCGAAAATACGATTTATTAACCTGTCGAACGTAAATTCTGTAACGCGCGCTCGTACGCACAATGTCCTCTCTGTCATGCTCGCCTCTACATTCTCACGCACGCGGTATACAAAATCTATATTGTTACTATACTTAAACATCGTGACGCGTAGCTTATCCGTTAGACGTACACTATCCTAGAGATCGTGTTTTAAAGTTACTATGTCGATTCCAGTAACCCAGATCGTCGAATAATTCCCTTTATGCAGTTATACGCAGGTTTCCAAGAGACGCGTGCTTAGGTACATCCAAGTTATCTCCCTCGCTCTCGAATCATTTTTCTTTTTCTTTTTTTCTGTCAATCCCTTTCATCTTTGATCGCGTTGATTCGTCACTGATATTCGTCAAAGATTATTATTTTTCGAGAAGAAAAAAGAATTTGTTACGCAAGTTTTCAATGATTTTCTGGCAGTGGTAGGGAATCATCGTTCGAAATGGTCGAAAAAAAAAAGTACAAACAAATATTTGATGAAATTTGTTAGGAGAATTTAGGTATTATTTTCCTTTAAATTACGCTCACGCGGAAATATTATCAAGTCGTTTGATATAAATTGCTGCATCATTGGAATAAAACTTTTTGAAATTTCTTAAATACTCGATAATTCCTTCGTCTACGTTGATATTATGGATGCTTGAAAATTATGGACACTTGTATAATTACATAGAGACTCTGATATTTATCGATGTCATTTGACTATTTCATCTTTGGTCTCGTCTTTGAAGCATTCTTCTTTCGTTGCCAAATATTTTTATTTCCCACCGTTTCATGCCAAATTATTTGAAAATTGAGGTTAGTTTCGAGTTGAACCGAAAGATTCATTTCTCTAAAAGAACTAAGTAACGGAGAGTCACGAACCTTATGATTATAATACTAATTTTTATACGCACACCTTTTCCTGTTATATTAAATAATCTACTAGCTACATCTTTTTGTAAAACAGACAGTACAAAATCCAATTTCGATGATTCCCGATCAACAGAGCCAACGAACCGATTTCTCAATCGCACCTGTAATCTGGTTTATCGATTACAGCATCGAACCACTACTAATCGGTTAACACGCTAAATTCTTACTAATACACGAATCACAGTTGCGATTAACAAGCAGTTCGTCGATCATTTTGCATTTTAATCATTCCTACGGGGAAACGAACGAATACAGTAAGAGAGAGGGAGAAAAGAAGTGTGTACTCGACACCGTTCGGGGCACGTAAATGAATACGTTGATAATTGATAATTTAATATTCTAAATTTTCTTCCGTTAAAACCAACCCGTCCAGAAGAACCGATATGACGTGTACACGATTTTGAACTTTGTCCCAGAATTTTTCTCAATTTTCGACGATTAAAAATGTGAAATTAAAGAGACAGAAGAGGAGTAAAATGATCGATTCATGCATGGTTACGTAGGTACAACGGAGATCATTGTATGGAACGAATTATAGTCAGATATACATATACATACATACATATATATGCGGCAGAGAGCAGTTTTCATTTTTTTTTCTTTTTTTTTCGAGATTTAACTACGTACAAAAAATATCCTTATCAGTTACATACGCTTTATGTACACAGTGTACCTACGTGTTTCCTCCGATGATTGTAATTAGTAAGTGCGTGTGCGTACTGTACAACTTGCAGCCTATTTAACATCCAAACGAGAAAGATCACAATTTGTGTTTTTACCTTTTCTTCTTGTCTATATGGACGCGATGTCTAGTACATATTGACACACGCCATTTTACGATGTGTCGCGAGGTTGCTTCCACCAAGATGATTTTTATATTAACAAAAGAGAAATCGAGGATATAGAAGTGCATGTAAAGGTGAGTTTTATTTGCAGATTTTTTCCAGCATCTTTTCGTGGGTATGACAAGTACGAGTAACGAGATTATATTGGCTTAATTTTGAAAATGGGTAAATATTAGAGAACGTGATAGACGTAATATTTTCTGCTTCTTTTTGTTAAGTATTATAATTAATGAAATTATTGTAACAGGTAAGTAACAGAAGAGAAATTTATTATTTTTATTACTATTTTCCTTATTGCTTTTTATTCAATTTGTCATTGCATTATTTTTGCGTTCTCTCTGGCCTTGAGAATTTTGTATTACAAATGATATAATAATTCCTCGGCTTATCAAATTTTTTAGAAATTGAATAATACATCAGTCGTTTCTGCTCTATGAAATATTATTCATACTTTATGTATTTAAATACCTGCATATCAATTTTTGATTTTACATATTTTGTACGGAAAATGAACTCTACAAGAAGGAGTATACACAAATATTATAAAATCGAAAAGATTGTTGTTGCCTGTGTTTACATGTGTAAAATATTGAAATAAATTAACCTTGTTATGAAAACGATTTCTAACAAAATGAATCTCATTAAACCCCTTCCAAATTTTTATTTTACCTTCTTTCACACTACAATACCCTTTTTTCATCTGAACGAAATACACAATTTATTTTTTAATTAATTCTCCATAATTCTCTTTCGACTTTTATGCAATTTATATTATTCTCAATTAAAACCTCATCTTAATTCCCATACGCAGTATATTTATGCCAAATATTATATCCGATATTTGTACTAAATCACTGTAGTAATCGTGTCTTGCTTATACCCACAAAAATATTTTCAAAATCTCCACTCAATTACACTTCACTTGCGATTAATCCTCTCAAACCCAATAGTCTACTTTCGCGACACAGCGTACGTATAGACTCTCAACTTCATTTCACAGAATACATCCTTTCTCTTTCCTCTTTCTCGTTATCTTCAATTTACAATTAACGAACGGTCAGATCATCCCGCCTTCCGATGATCCAACTTTGAACGATATGACAAAAACGTGTATCTTCGACTCTCTTCGTTTATAAACGCCCCTTTGGCCACTCTATTGGCGTCGTTTTTGTTCAAAAATATCGCAACTCTCGCATCCTTCCTTCCACCCCTTTGTACATTTTTTTAAGTCTTTTTATTCTCTGTATATATTTTATTTTATTTTTTTTTTCTTTCGTTTTCCGCGTGTTCTTCGCGTCAGATGATAATGTTATTCTGGAATTATGCGCGTCATCTAGAGCAAATTTCTCGTCCAACCCTCATCGTTTGGTTTTGTCGACTAAAGGGTTCAAAAGGGCGGATATACATTCTCGTAATTGGCGAAGAGCGAATTAATTAGGCCGAACACAATGAACATTCACGAGGATAGTTATCAAAGTTACTGTTACAGCTGGATTAATGCTTGTCTATGTACAAAATTTATACAATGTATAAAAATCGTTTCGTGGCCTTAGGTAGGTGACCACGCCATCTTTTCTTCTCCGTTTCACGTTTCTTCGCTTCTTCTTCATCGCGATCGACGTTTTATTAACTATTCCAGCAGGACAGATGTTTGGAAAAAGGTATTGCACGAGTTTGAGAATTGAAAATTTAAGCAATGTCTCCTCGACGAATAATTTTCGCTTGTTAACTTCCTTCCCAACCAATTTTTCGTATTTAGGTAAACGAAAAATTTAGTATCTCTTTCTAGTTGAATTTATCAGATCCTGTGTTCCATTATGTATTTGTTTAAATAAATTATAATATATTTTGCACTGATAATACCTCAATAGCTTTTAGTAACCTAATCGCAGTTTAGTACATTAATACGTTAATAAATTAACATGTATTTACATATTAGATAATAACAAATTACTACGTTAATAAATAAATAAATAACCAATATATTAATAACTGAACCATACCGAGTAAGTAAATTGAAACTTAAAAAATTAACAAAGGGAGTTAATATCCTGAGCTACTAATTTTTTAGTCGAAAATATTTGGATGTCAATCATGTTCGAAAACACATGTAAGTAAA